CCACTGAACAGCAGGTCTTCGTGACTATGGGGTTTACCCTGTCTGCTGTTCACCACACCTAGGTGTGTAATAAAAATAATCTATCTTCCCGTTGACTCCATTCCCATCTGCATTCTATTCTTTTATCTCAATGGGCAGCCAGAAGACAGCAACCAAAACCGGCTCATGAAAATGCACGGTTAATGGTTGTCACAACGGAAATTGAACCTGCCTCATCCATTCGCTTATAGTGCTAGCATGCGACAAGTGCTACTGATTTGAACTGGTCTTACATGAAGCTTCACTTTCACCCACAATCCTCATTTTCCCCGATTCATCATACCTGGAAGCACTGGGCTGAAGTTTCACTTTTTTGGGCACTCTCCCGTGGTTTTAACCAACAAACTGTCTCGTATGAAAGGCGTGTGTGGTTGGCACTGATTGATCCCAGAATAAACTTCGATCCACAGGTTAGTATATTTCATACTTGTGCCAGACTGTGTGCGAAGCAAATCATGGTACAATAATCTTTATGAAATCAAAAACGTTCGTTCGAGTACTGCCAGGTTCCCCCGAGGCCAAAGTAGATGAATTTTTCTAGGAATCCACAGCCGGAGCCTTTGGCTAGCCAAAGCCTGACCCGCGAGGCAGTGGGGACGGTGTTTGAAAATCGCAGTTTATTGGGAGCCGGTGTCCAGTTCATCGGATCATACGCCTTTCGGATGGGGTCAGATGTCCAAGGTGCCCAATACACCTCGATGCCCAATCGAGCCGGTGACCATTGCCACAACCAGAAAGGTGTGGGTGTGGTTCATACGCCTTCTCTTGGTTGGTTTGGCATCAGGGTGTTTGGCCAACTCCACCAGGTGAACTACCAGTGGTCCACCAACCCGGATGTTGCCCTTCTGTCGTCTCACTTTGATAGAAAAACACCTCCGCAACGTGAGAAGGCAGTGAGTGGGGCTTCCTCAGCAAAACCTATTTGAGAGGCTTGGTCCTATGGGAGCATTTGGCGAGGTGCAAGGGAAGGGTGACCAGCCGCAACCCTAGACACCCACTCCCAACCGTACTGAGGCTTTCTGAGGTTACTTCGCGCATTAGTGGATTGATCGCTCGGGAACTGGTAGGAAACATTTTTCAGGTATTTCACCACTATATCCATGACGCGCCTCATTGGAACATAAACATGTGTTCAGTCAGATTTGTCATATTTTCAATACCAAATCGGATCATACATTCTTCTCTCTTCGTTATCCAAACGCGACAGAACCCACGATTTATTCCTGTTTAAACTATGGGTATAACCATTCAGCTAACACAGCGCTTACCATTGAATACTAATTGGTATTGATGCCGAAAGTAGACTCAAAACCGTGATCGACCGCATTCATGCTTGAGCCTGTCAATGCCGTGTATGTCTCTCTCGGTTGCAATAATCGATTAATGTAGGTGTACGCTCGCACACATGCTCACTAGGTATTGTACCATTTACAATAGCCATGTGGCTTTTTCATTTGGTAGTCTGTCTCTCTCATGCATCGACATAATCGCGAACGCAACCATGTGGTTTGTGTAACGTGTATACCCTACAAACACAACGCTCTATTATAGTCTATACATTGCGCTTGCAGATCATGAATCAAGGAAACACTCAGGGTGTGGCATTGACCTAGGCAACAATTATTACGAATTATAATGATCCGTGGACATGGCCTATGTGTGTATCTCTCTCTCTGCCTCGTCGAATCCGTGAACGGCGAAGCTTCAAAATGGATCATGCGGCTGAACTCAGTTATTTATAAAACCTCTTCGAGTGTGTACGGTATCCTGCCCTGCAATCGAGTGCCGAAAAGGTTTCTTCCCGCCCTGGGTGACCTTTATTCTCTTCGGTGTACTGCGTCACGATGCGATCAGTTCTGCTTTTCGACAATCCGTGCTTACGTAGTCTCTGGACCAAGTCGGATGCAGTGAGCGGGTTAGTAACCTAGAAGTAAGTCGTCGGGTGTTTGGGAATGCATCGAACAGGAATTCGCTATCGCATCGAATTCAGCTCAATAGGCTCCGTTAGTTAGGACGCGTTTTGCTTAGGCCGGAGTGCTCTTTGTTTGCAGCGGTTGTTGCAGACTGGAGAAAGCAGATGACGTGGAGACGAGGCATGAAGAAATGCACAAAGCGATTAGGTAGAGTAGGTGTGTCTCACCCTCCGGGATGGG